TCAACTTTATCTTAAAAAACTTTTTGCTTAAAAACTCTTTTTTAATTACAATAAATATATTATAAGTAATAAAATATAATAAATAAAAAATAAAGTATAAAATGGATGATAAGACCATGTCTTCTGCCAGCTCCGTTCGAAATTTTAATGCTATATTTTTATGTTGTAAAAACATTAAAAAAACATTTTTTAACACTGATTTAAAAAAAAAAATTCTTATTCAGACCTTAGGGAATCAAAATAACAATAGATTTGAAAAATATACATTTTCGAAATTATAATTTAAATGTTTCTGTTTACATTTAACTAGTATAATTCGCTATAAGCATTATTAGACTGCACAAAAAAAGAAATGTACCGATTATCAGCTGTTTCACAAAGCTTAATATAACATTTTATTATCTATTGATATACCAAATCAATAGACACAATCTCAATGATTGATTTCCTAAGTAAAACCTCTGAATTACTTTTATAAAAGTATAAGTAATCTGAATTTTCATCTTTTAGAACACTGTAAATCAGTGTTAGTTTGACATCTTTACTCTAACATACATACATTATAATATACTTTCCATTTCTGAAAAGTTATCAAATGTAACACAAAATGTAAAAAACCTGTTTTTAAGAAGAGTTTTTTTTTTTTTGAGTTTGGTAAATTCTAAGTTCTAAAATCAAAACTTTTGAATGTTTATATCATTTAGAATGTCGTTTAAAATCGTTTTGCCCGAAGTTGCGCTGATTCTTGCAATAAAAATACCCTAAAATATTGGCACCTCCCGTTTAAATCCAGGAAAGGGAAGGATAGATTATTTCTTCCAAAATAAAAATTAATTCTATAAATAAAACTTATATATATATTTTAAGTCAAATATGATAAATGTCCAGCAAAAAAATATATAATAATTATATTTATGTTTAAAACTAATAAAAATAAATCTCCTAAAATATTTTATCCGCTATTCAAAATAAATCAGAATTGATATCTAACCAGATTCTCAAATAACAGCTATATTCAACTCAAAAGTAATTTTGTGGCAATTTCCACTAGAGGGCCGAAATTATGGAATATATTATTAACTGATGAAATTAAAACAATTGCAACGCTTAATGAGTTTAATAACAAATTGAGGCAAAAACTGATTGATAAACGTTTTTTTGAATAATAATGATAGTCGCTACTGATAAAGTTACCCAACTATTGGAGATTGTCATTATCAGCTTGACGATCTTAGAGAGGATCGTGTCACTTGTTATTGCTTCAGCTTTTCTTTTATAAAAACTTATGATATAAAAAAAATTCTCCAGATATTTCCCCTATATATATATATATATATATATATATATATATATATATATATATAGGCACCTATAGGTGCCCTTCCCCTGCCGTGAAATATCTGGTAAAATTTCCCCTGCCGTGAAATATCTGCCGTGAAATATCTGCCGTGAAATAACCAATAGTTATGAAAATATTACCAGTATGCCATCATAGGCGCTATGCCATCATATATGGTGGCATAGCGCCTATGATGGCATACTGGTTATATTTTCATAACTATTGGTTATTTCACGGCAGATATTTCACGGCAGGGGAAATTTCACCAGATATTTCACGGCAGGGGAAAGGCACCTATAGGTGCCTATATATATATATATATATATATATATATATATATATATATATATATATATATATATATATATATATATATATATATATATATATATATATATATATATATATATATATATATATATATATATATATATATATATATATATATAGGGGAAATATCTGGAGAATTTTTTTATATCTAACCAGATTCTCAAATAACAGCTATATTCAACTCAAAAGTAATTTTGTGGCAATTTCCACGCGGATAAAAATAATTTGGTTATAGCAAAAAAAGGATTAGACCAACATGTCAATACTGATTTTACATTAGTTTTAACAAAAATACGTCTTTTATGCACAAATATTGCTTTTATAATCAACAAAAATCGATTTTGGGATGTGCTGTTGTATTTTTAACTCTTTTAATTATTTAAGATTGTGATTTTATAATTAACTGTGAAGAAATTAAATTCATGCATTTTATTTTCAGGTTTTGTGCATTTAGTAAAATACATATTTTAATTTTATCTAATGAACAAGGCAGACATACCTTGTTTAAATGAAAATAATGAGTTCTTCCTATGATGGCATACTGACGAGTTAGATGTGTTGCAATATTGACGAGTTAAGAAAGCCTTTTTTTTCATAAAGCAACATGTTTGTTAGTGAAGTAAAAAGGAATTTTTTACTTCACTAAAGAAATTTGGGTTCAAAAAACACATAAAACGCAAAATTTCTTATGCGCATGCGCGAAGTTCTAGACTGCTTCTGTGTAGCACGAAGGGGTTAATAAGTATGATAACGCGTAATTTCTTGCATTTCTGAGGAAAAACTTTAAGTTCAAATGAATTTATCAAGTTACCTTTGATACTAACCAGCCCCATCCTCCCCTATGCCATCATAGGAGCAGCAGTTGTCTATGATGGCATGCTTGTGCTTTTTTTTGAATTAAAAAAAAAACTAATAAAAAATTAAAACTAATAAAAACTTCTAGGGTTATTATTTTTCTACATGTAACAAAGAATGTATCCATATCAAAACTTTTGTTCTTGGTCTTCAGGATACTGAATAATGAAGCTTCAAAGTTAAGTATGCCATCATAAGCACATTTCCCCTACATTCTTAAAAAGAAAGCTTATGGGTTATGCATGTGTACTTGCAATCTTTATAATAATATATTTTTTATATATTAAATATTTTATTGTTGAAGTTAAAAACCTTTCTTAAGTAATACAAAAAAGTTAAAGTAGGACATTAGGACCTTTTTATTTTTTAATCATAAAGTCTTTAAAAAAACATTTTATATTATATAGTGTAACGTTTTTTAATTTTGAGTAATTTAATTTTTACAATATTGATTAAGGGGCTTAATGATAAGACAAATTTTCTCTTCTTCATGCTTCTGCAATTTGTCTGCAATTTGTATTGTATAAATTTATACGCCAAACAAAAAATCATTATCAAAAATAATATTGCTTTTAAATGAAACATTTAGTTTCTCGAATAAATTTTAATCTGGTTTAAGAAAATAGAATTAATATTCGGAAAAAAAAACAATTACCTCCTCATTTTGACAGGGTTTTGTCATATTTTTAGGGTAACTTTGTTCCCAGGTTTTAAATACTCCTTATTTTTGGCAAAACTTTCTTATTTGACGTGAGTATGAACATACAAACATTTGGAGCTTAGAATTTACCTGGAACTTAGTAAACACAAATACCATAAAATCCTGGATCCACCCCTGAGTATGAAAATCTTTTTTTATAGATTTTATCAAAATTTTCTTGATATTGTTGCCATGACAAATTTTTAAATAGATTAAACTCTGTAAATAGTTGTGCTGATAAAGGCAACATGTTTGAGATTTTATACTCTTGTGCAATTGTGGGCAAAGCAAAATCGCGTTTCCTGTTTTAAAGGCAAACGTTTTCTTTAAATTGGATGACAATCTGTTTAAAACTTTATGAATAATAAATGCAAATTTAAAAAACATATTATAAAACACAAAGTAAGATAAGATTGTTGCATCAAAGAACACTTCAATTTATTGTTGAGAACTAGTTTTTTTTAAATAACTGCAATTAAAAAGGTTCTTTAAAACAAATAACTTTTATATAATAAAATACGTGCATGCAAACCACATACAATTTTTTCCGAATTTTAATTGTTAACGCATGAATAATATTTTATATGTGTTGTATATGTTAAATTGCTAGGCTTGCAAAAAAAAGCCTTTTTTTGTCTAGATAGGAACATCAACCACACTGCTTTCTTCTGTTACTCCGATATAGCTGGGAAACGGGCAGCAACGTGCATGAAGTTTTGTTAAACCGAATTTCTATTATTAACACAAAAAGAAATTTTTCTAGTGATATTTTAACTGTATGGTTACAGACTTATCGTACTTTTGAAATGGAAATTTTGTTACTAGATTTGTTATCATATTAGGTAACCATCTTTTTTTTTTAATAGTTTGAAGGTTTTAATTTAAACTTTAATATAAATAAAAAACTTGTAATAGTATACTTTAATATAATTAGATATCTTCAATATCTTATCTTTTGCAATATTTTTGCACTTATTTTTTTTTTATTATAACAGATTAAATTAAATCTAAGTTGAGAGTAAAGGCGATATTTTATATTATTTTTATATTTGACACGTTTTGGAGCGAAAAATTAAGAGACCCGTTTTTCATAAAAAATTATTAAAACAAAATAAAGTTCCTTATTTTGTCCATTCATTTGTAAATTTCTCAGTAAAATGTAAATTGCTCAGTTAACACTTAATTTTAAAAATACGATACGTAATTTTAAGATTTATAGAAGCACTATAAAACAGTATTCAGTATAAAGGTTATCAGTTAGTGTATATGATATATATATTTAGCCAAGATATCAATCAAATATTTAAAATTTGTTTTGCTTTGATATTTGTTGATGAAATGCTAAAGTAATAAAATTATTCATGTTAATATACATTTACGTGTACAATATTTATATCTATGCAAAAGAGTTATTTTTTGAATTATTTGCGTTACTTATTTTACATTATTAGGAAAACAACAAGAAATAATTTAAAGAATTCACTCAAGAGAAATGCAATAAAAACTTTTACAAAAATTCTTTATAATTAATTATTAATGCCATTAAAATGATTTTTTTTTTGCCATTATAAAGAATAACTTTTATTCTACTTTTAAAGACAAATATAATAGACTTTAAATATGTATTTAAAAAAATGCACCTTTAACCATTATACAACCTTAGATAAGCCTAAGAAATTGTTTTTTAACGGTGAAATTGCACATTTATGATTATTGCATAATTTATTGTATTGTATTCACTGTTTTAACGTTGTTTGCAACTCTTTTTAAATCATTTTAAATTATCATTGAAAGACTATCATCGCTCTTCATTCTATAAAAATGAATTGCATGCAAAGGTAGACCTTAAAATTTCGGTTTCTATTCAATTTAAAAGAATTCAGATACTCTTCAAAAATATTGCATTAATATGAATCGTGCCGAAAACTTAGCGCAATTTTTATCAGGAGGATTGAAGATAAATGTTACTATTTAATAAAGCGGACTTTGATTAAACAACATTTTCTTCTTTCAGAAGTCGATAGCATTGCCAGTTTGCTTCAGGTAAAAAATTTTAAAGTATTTTTTTTTTAATATTTATTTTACTGTTCATATCATTAGATAATAAAGTTACAAATAAACGTTAACATAAAAATAAACATTTATGAAAAACTGGCGGGCTAAAAAACAGAATATTCGGATGACTTCAGTCAGGGGCGCCACCAGCATTTTTTGGTCTTTGAGATAGCTAACTTCCAGAGATATTAATACTTATTTTAAATAAGGTTGCTTTGCAAAAAATTGCGATGATTGGAGCTTGGGAACAAAAAAGCTCCAAAATTTTGTCCCCCCTGCCCAAAACGTGAGAGCAACAAAATTTTGGGGCTTTTTTGTTCCCAAGCTCCCATCATCGCAATTTTTTTGCAAAGCATCCTTATTTGACATAAGTATAAACATATAAATGTTTTCCAGACTTCCAGACATGGAGTTTGCTTCATGTCTGGAAGTTAGCTATCTCAAAGACAAAAAAATGCTGGCGGCGCCCCTGACTTCAGTCATCAAAATTTTTTCTTGGAGTTTTTTTTTTTTTTTCATTTTGTTATTTAGGTGCCCCAAAAAGACCTAACAGTCTTGTCACTAAGCACCGCGGACGTACATTTAACCAGGAAGTCCACGCCTCCTTCTTTACCGTTACGCAAAAAAATGTCCAGAACTCGTTTCGAATCTGGATCTCCTGCTTATAAAGCAACCGCTGTAACCACTGCGCCACAGCCGCATGTTCCTATCATAGCCAACGACACCGGGAGGGGAAGGGTTATTTTAAGAAATTCTAGATACAGAGGACTTTTTTTTAAAATTGACGATTTGTAGTTTTGTGTTCCACAGTATTCCATTTTCAAAGAATTTGCTATTCATGGCAATATATAAGTATTTCATTTGTTTATTTATAAAAAACATTTTTCAATCATATTTATTATATATTTGTCATCTTGGTTTTTTGGGATAAAGCTGTTTTTGTATTTATGCAAAAAAAAAAAAAAAAAAAAAAAAAAAAAAACTAAGTGTTGATAAATATTAATTTCATATATATTTATTATTTGCATGTCTTAATGGATTTGTATCTAAGGCTATTGACGGGTACACGGGCACTCAGGTACCTGCCGATTGGTTATTGCTCGGGTAGCATTTTTTATTTATGGCAGGGGCGGACTGGCCATGTGGAAGATGTGGACTATTCCACATGGGCCGTTGTTAAGTACTTTGTTTTTACGTATATGTATTCTAATAAATTTTTTCTGTTCGATATTTATTCATTAATGTATATATTTATAAATTAAGCATAACTTTGTAATTTACGTCTGTTATCTTTGCTGCTTTTCCTCATTTTTCGTTGGCCTACAGGGCCGTTAAAAATATTTTTCCACATCATAATAATTTGGCCAGTCCGCCCCTGATTTATGGGTACCCTTAGAAATTCTTATTATTTATTAAATTATTGTGATTTTTTTATCACAATCAGAATTTTTGAAAATATAAAACGTTCGATAATTAATTTGATTTTTTTATTCAGATGTTCTATGTTATGCAATTTAAGTACAAAAAACCTCACGTTAGTACAATGTTTTTAATTAACGTAAATCGGAATTCCGTCAACTCGTTTAAAAATTTATCTCTTGGATTAAACTCTTTCAAAACCTGGAAGATGGAAAATATAATTATATAGAAGCTCTTTTAAAGAAATTATTGTTTCAGTTAAGCACGTTATATTATTATACTTAAATTATTCTCAGTTTCTTCTTAAAAAGGTATACATTTTGTTTAAAAAGAAAAAAATTTGAAAAAAGAAATAATTTTTTAAAAGTGGGCTTAAAAACATTATTTTAAAACAACTAAAAAATAGAAAATAGTGTTCATCAATTTGTAACAAATATATATTTTGCAAAGGCTTGTTGTTGTTATTTATATATGCGTTACCCATTAGCGATTTTAGGGGGAGGGGAGAAGGTAAGGGGTGTTCCACACCCTCCCTCCCCTCCTCCAAAGAAGATGGTTTTCAAGTTATAGTCAATTTTGTTTACAAACTCAGTTGGCTAGTCGGGTACTTGACACAGTTCAATCAGGTAATTTTTTTTTTAAGAAGCCAGTCGGTACTTTTTAACAATTTGCCTCCCCCCCTCCTCCTTAATTTATTTGTAGAATTGTCTCTGACGTTACCCGAAGCTTGCTATATGTGTGCATACTAGCAACTTCATTGTCATTAGAATGTGCTTTCTCGACTGTATGTTCGTGTATTTTTTTTCCTTAAATATAAGCCTACACGCATATTTCTATAGTGAAAATATTTTTGTAAGCCTTGTTTGTCTACTCATGTAATATTGGAATATTAGATGAAACAACACATCAACGCTTATAAACATTATAAGCATTTTATCCATCCAAGGATTGACGTTTTATTATTAATTCATATAGACACGTTTTGTTGTGATATCAAGAAATTTACTTTAGAAAGTATTAAACGCTTTATTTGTATTTTCACAACTAAATAGCTCTTGTTTTTGTTTTTAGAGCATTGATTTTAACGTGTGCTGGAAAGCGATTACTAATATCAGTTTAAAAAAAAATGTTGCATATTTTTAAAAAATTATGGGTGGAATGCAAGAAGCAAATTTGAATGAAGTTCGAATTGAACTTTGAAATCTGACTTTGTCAAGTCAGACTTCAAAAAAAAGCTTTAGCAAATGCGTAAACGAAACTTGAAAGTTTAAAGGTTGTGCGTGAGTAAGTCCGGGTTTGACACCATTGGGGAGGAGTAGAGGGCCCAGGGAAAGGTGGTCTTCCCCCCCTCCTACTTTTTTTTTAAGGACTTTTTTTTTTTAAGAGAGAGAGGACTTTTTTTAGAAACTGACAATTGTGTCTCTCCCCCTTCCCCCACTACTTCGAAACCCAAAAGTAAAGACTTTTTTTTTAATTTTATTTTAAGATATAAAGGACTTTTTTAGAAACTGACAGTTGTACCCCTCCTCCTTCGCCCCACTACTTCGAAACCTCGAAAGTAAAGTTAGCCCAGATGTCAGTCTTAAAAAACTTAAAAAGCATTGATTTGAAGCCTGAATCCAAAAAACACTTTGTAACTAATAGCGGTAGAGTATTTTTGAAAGGAAAACCCCTTGATTAAAGCAAATTAACTATATATTTTGAAATAACATATCTGAACTTTGATGAGCAGCCATGGCACAGTGGTTAGAGTTCTCGCTCAGAACTCAGAGGTCCGAGGTTCGACGCCAGATCTAGCCCAACAAGTGACATCTGTACGGAAGGAGGCGTGAACTTGTTAAATGCTCTCCCGCGGTGCTCTGTGATAAGTCCGTAAGGACTTCTGGTAGCACCTAAAATAACTGCTTTATACTTTGAAATATTAACTTACAAAAATATATTAAAAGATGTTAGAAAAATAACAGTTAATATTATTTCTATTTTATTATATTATTTTGTTATAGTATTTTATTTTTTTTAAAACTAGCTATTTTAATAAAAAACATAGAATTTAGTTAAACATGCTCACATTATCTTCTAATTATTCCAAGGTTCTAACTACTACGTCACAGCTTCTAAACATGGAAATGTTATTGGTAAACCATATTATATGCCAATCGGTTAACAGTAAAGCATATTAATTATTGTTTATGTTTTCTGCGCGTTTGAAGATAACTAAAATAAATGTTCATAATATCATTCAGCGCATTAATTGAACGTAGTTATAAAGAAGTTACAAAAGCAATTTTGTTGAATAATCAAATCTATACAACACAAATATTTTGCAAGGCAATTACTAATAATATTTGAATGAAAGCCACCTGGCGGGTTTTAGTAGAACATAAATTTGACTTTTCGCAGTCGGGTGATATCAATATCATAATTTGGCCAAAATTATGGACTGGCTACTTTCTACATAACTACGTTTAATTTAACAAATAGCATTGATCCTGAAAAATCTGAAAATCAAGAATTACCACTATAAAAACCAACAACATGATACGCCGTACGAATATTTGCGCGTGTACATTTTAAAAACGCCAATTACTTTTTTGATTGTACTGTGCATTAAAGGGGTCAGGGCAATAAAATCCGTTTTTGTCACGTATAATAACATCCGTGAAACAACATCCGAAATTTCATCGATGTATAATAACATCCATACAACTACATCTGTAGATTTTTCGGATGTGACTACATCCGATTTTTTTTTTTTTTTTTTAAATGCATACTTTTAACCAGATGTAGTTACGCATCTGATTTTTTTCGGATGTAACTACATCCGCCAAAAAAAAAATGATTGTAATGCATTATTTTAAGCATAATAAATTTTATATATTTTTTTAATTCTTTGATAGACTGCCTGCCCAAACCTAACCCTCAGTCGATGTAGCAGCACTCCGTTGTGAGTCAGGCTATTTGTCAGTTGATGTAGCAGCACTTATATAATATAATAACTATATATGTAACTTATAAATGTAACTACATCTTGAATTTTTTTTAATAATGCATTATTTTTACAAGATGTAGTTACACATCTGATTTTTTTCGGATGTAATTACGTCCGAAAATTTATTTTATTTAATAATGCATTATTTTAGGCGGATGTAGTTACACATCGAGAAAAACTCTCGGATGTAGTTACATCTTTCTAAAGATGTTATTAGACATCAATGAAATTTCGGACGTTGTTGCACAGATGTTAATTCAGTAAAGAAAAAAAGCGGATGATCTTACAAAAAAATGTGCGGATGTTATTTCACTACTCCACGGATGTTGTTGGACAGATGTAATAATCTTTTGCCCATTAAAGTCACGCCTTTCACAAAAATATTTATGGGTGCTTAAAGTTTTGCATAGAACACAAGGATTTGAATCTTCTGCTAAAAATTGTCAAGCAATTTTTTTTTCGTTGAGAACCGCTAATATAAACGTGGTAAAATTTCTCTTGGTAATAAAAGTGATTAAAAATAAATAAGATGATTACAATTTTTTTTTAATTTACGGAAGAGTCTGTTTTAAATAAATAA